TTAAAGAACATTAGAATATATTAAGTCAGGACGACCTATTCCCCTTACGAGGAATACAGTGATATGAATCACTGCCAACATCTCTTAACAAAGCTATTACATCATGTGAGAATTTCGCTTTTGGAAGAAAAAATGATATCAGATGCTAGATATTGTATCGTGCTAACTTAATCACACTTTACCTCTATTGATATAATTCCAATTAAGACTCTTTGTGGCAAAGTCCAATTTTAGTAAGTAATAGTCACTATATCTAATAGAGTTTCAGAATCTAGATGGAGCTCTAAACAAATTATGTTTTGTACTTTGCTGCATCAGTCTGATTGGGTCCCATTTTTTAAAAATGATTCATTTTACTTGTATGATAAAATTTCGTAAGCAATTCATTGAATCAAGTAGGGGTGTACTTGGATGGTTTCTTATTTAAATTAGAACAATTTCATCATTAGATGTGATCATGATTAGTTTAGATGACACTAAATTACAAACTTTTATCTTAGCCCCACACGAATTAACTTTCATTAAGTTAATTTGTTAAGTATAGTATCTCTCTGTTTCTTCGACACATTTCGACTTGCTACTCGAAGGAAATTTCGTGGATTTGTTATTGTATCTCAAAAACAGGAAGTCCATAACTCCGTTCAAATCTTTGTTGAAACCAAAAGCATCCTCAACATATTCTCTTATACTTGAATAGAAATGTGAGACCTCTACTCTCAACTCACCTTTCGCTTAAATATGAAAATAATAGCCAATATATAAAAGTTTATACTATCACTCTTAAGCAATGGCAAGGTTAACCAGTTTAAATTTAGCACTTGTTTGATTCCCATTATTTTCAAAGTATATTTATTTCACTTCTTTTCAACCACACATTTTTCAATAAAATAATATATTATACGTAAATGCAAAACTTTTCCTTACTTTTAACTGTAAATTCTTCGTCAATCTATTATTACAAAATGCATTCTTCTCTAAAAATAGGGCTCAAACCGGCTCTTAGATACCAAGTCAAGATTCCATATGATATTAGAGTTAAAAGTTAAAATTGTTTTTATTATTTATATCGTTGTCAATGACTAAGCACATGTAAATCACTAGGGGTGCTTTTAAAATTGTTATTATTATTTATTATTTAATTTTTATGACGTACATAGCAAACATTTTTTTTTTCTTGATGCTCCTAAGAAGAAGGAAAACTAAATAAACTAAGAGTGTGTTTGATTGTATTTATTTTTCATTGAAAAATGTCACTTTTCTACCCAAATTACTATTTTGAAGTGTTTGATTGCTATTTTTTTTTTATGGAAAATATTTTTCAACTTTTAAAAATATGCTTAATTTTCTTTGTTTTTAAGGAAAATGTTGGGGGACAGTTGGTTTTTTCCCTCAAAACAAGAAAAATATTTTCTTTTCTAGGATATAATTTCCATGAAATTGCAAACTTTTATCCTAGCCCCACACGAATTAACGTTAATTCGTTAAGTGTAGTATCTCTTAGGCTTTTCGACACATTTCGACTTGCAACGTGAAGGAAATTTCGTAAATTTGTTATTGCCCCAAATACGGAAAGTCCATTACTTCATTCAAATCTTTGTTGAAATCAAAAACATCCTCGACATACTCTTATGCTTGAATAGAAAGGTGGGACCTCTACTCTCAACTCACATTTCGTTTATATATGAAAAAAAAAATAACCAATATATAAAAGTTTATACTCTAACTATTTAGCAAGGGCAAGGTAAACCATTTTAGCACTTGTTTGATTCTCATTATTTCCAAAATACATTTTTCTCTTCTTTTCAACCAATAATATTACACGGAAACTTCCTTATTTTTTAACTACAAATTCTCTATCAATATATTATTATAAAATACATTTTTCTCTAAGAATGTGGCTCAAACAGGCTCGTACCAATACAAGACTCAATATGAAATTAGAGTTTAAAAGTTCAAATTGTTACTATTATTTATATTGCCGTCAACGATTGATCACATGTGAATTGTTTGGGAATTTAGTCGCACGTCGACAATAAGGATTCTTGCCTTGAAACTTTCTATTATATATTAGTATTATTTAATTGTTATGATGTACATAACAACCATTAACAAAAAAAATTGTAATCACATGTATTGACATAGAAAGATTTGTCTTTACATATTTATTTATTTTATGAACATTGCATAAATAATCTCCAAGCTATATTACGTATCACAACTTTGTCCTAACCTTTTAAACAATGCAACAAATTTTGATTGTTGAGAACCAACTTGAACTTTTTAAAATTTGGGGACCCATTAGCAACAATTTATTGAGGTTGGTGATCCATTTGGGAGAAAGCCAGATTCCAAAGTCATTTTGAATTTGGAAAAAGCAAATCCCGTCGTAAGGTATGACATATATTAATTATAAAATTAATTTTCTTCAAAATTATTTTAAGCCATGATATGTTTACAAAAGATGTTCTTTATAAATAAAAAGTTTTTTTGAGATACTTTTATTTTACATTCTTTAGTAAAACATTTTTCATTTGAAAGTATCACATCCATACATGAATTAACTTTCATAATCAAAATTAAAGTAATAATATAACGACAATTGACAAGTTAATTGCGGGGGATGGTACGTGAACTTTGTTTGAATAGTACATCAACCCAACCCTTGAATATTGAAAAAGTAATAAAACATTTTAATTAGTATTATTCAATACTACCTATCTTCTTATTTTTAATTGTAAATCTTCATCAGTATTTGAATCTGAATAAAGAGAAAGCAACTTCAGAAGCTAAAACATTATTATTCCTTTAGAATGATCATATGCTCTTTGTTCTATCTAAATCGATAAATTAATCAATTAAATATGTTATATGTCAACATTATTATTGTTTATATTGTTGTCAATGACCGACCACATGTGAATGCAGTCGCACACCAACAGTATGGAATGAAATGTGTGATAAAAAATAAAGTTTGACTAATTTTTTAGCAAAATGATAGCTTTACCACGCAAGTAAGAAGATCATGTTTTGTAGATATTTTTTGAGAATAGATTTTGTTAAAAATAATTTTCTTGAAAAATATATTTTTATAATAATAGAAAATTTATGAGTCAACGTACATATTTATTTGTTAAGTGAATATGTGATTGAAGATAACTTTAAAAAAATGAAATTTAAAAAATGAGCACCAAATATGAGCTAAATTTTGAAAAACCGTTGGTACTTCGCACATTAATTAGCAATTAGTAATTTCACCATCTCATTCTTCCCTCAAATCACATATATCTTCTCCCTTTCATATCCTCTTGTCACTAAATCTTTATATTCCAAACCCACTCACCATATGAACATTCGGGGCCACTCCCCTTACCCCCTCCCCCACTACTTTACTAGAGCCTTAGTGGCTCTGTCACTAAGTTCAAGTCTCATAGCATTTTATATATGAAAATTATACAATGTTTGATTAAGGGCATGTTTGATTGGTGAGTTTTTCTAGGGACAATGGAAAATGGTTTCCATTTTCCACTTTTCGTAGTGTTTGATAGGGTTTTTTTTTACAAGAAAATTTTTTCTAGGGGCAGCACTCACGTGCCTGTTTTCCCCATAATTTTGGGAAAAGCTTTTCCTAACTTTTTGGTGGGAAAAGCTTTTCCCACTACTGCACGTAAATTTTTTTCTTTTTTACCTTTTGGCAATGGAAACAAATTTTATAACCAGTTGTAAAAAAAAATTCACTTTCATGGACAATTTTCATGTAAAACGAAGCCAAACAAATACTAAATTTTGATGAAAAAATGACTTTTTCGGAAACAAATTTTTTTTTCCTTTTTTTTCTACTTTTTGGCAATGGACACAAATTTTATAACCAATTGTGAAAAAAAATCACTTTAATGGACAATTTCCATATAAAACAAAACAAAACGAATAGAAAATTTAAAAATTTTCCCGGTGAAAAATTATACCAATCAAACACACTTGAAATCATTTTCCCTGCAAAACATTTTCTAGGCAAATTGTTTCCCTGTAAAACATTTTCTTTCCACCAATTTTCCACCATTGCAATCAAAGAGACCCTAATATTATGTTGCTTGAAAAAAAATTTATAACTTTAATTTTTAACTCAAAAATGAAGAATGTGTGGCTCTGCCACTGATAGTATCCACAGATTAATCATATTTACTACCAGTGCGTATCACCATTACTTGATCATCAATTTTAGAATCCGTTAGAAGGTTATCGATTTTTATTCTGCCAAAAAGGGATGGCGATGTTTGAAGATAGAAATCTCATACCATTGATGGATGTTTCCTTATCACATGACATGTCCATTTGTGCATCTGTAGTCGGAACAATGGATATTGCGAGACCATGACCCTAGTCACTTTATCGAGGAAAGACTTGCATGGGGGGTTTAATATTGTTGTAAGTTTGTAATATTTGATCAGTACATTTGGTAAATAAAGTTTGTAATATTTTATCAATACATTTGTATTCACATGCATTGACATAGAAATAAGTTTGAGTTTGATGCACATTTTTTAGGAGTATGCATTTTTTATTTTTTTGTGATGTGATGGTGAATATGTGGTTGAAAAAGAATGAAAAATTATTGATATAATGTAAAATATTATTTTGTTGAAAAATGTGTTGTTGAAAATGAGTAGAAAAATGAGAATGTGGCTCAAACGGAGACTTAAAAAAGATTGTGCTTATCCATTTGAAAAAAAAAAAAAAGAAAGCAAATTCATTTTCTCCAAAATTATTTTCAATCACATATTATGATTTTTCTTTACTTTTCAACTATACATGCTGGCAAGAAAAATTATTTTTCATTTGAAAAAAGCTAGATCCATAAGGTTAGGAAAAAATTAATTTTAAATCATATTTAATTTGGAAATATCTAACCAAACAAGCTCTATATAAATCAACAAGCAAGAATACCAGCGACAATCGAAAGCTCTATACAACTCAAGCAGCAAAAATACCAGCAACACTCAAAAATGTCTTCTACAAATGCCTCTAATTCCTCTTCCACTGCCATTACCCCTGTATGGAGTTATGACGTTTTCTTGAGTTTCAGAGGTGAAGACACCCGTAAAGGTTTCGTCGACCACCTCTACACAACCTTATACGAAAAGGGTATCCACACTTTCAAAGATGACACTGAACTCAAGAGAGGGAGTTCCATTTCCACAAAACTCGAAAAAGCTATTGAAAGCTCTGAAGTCGCACTCGTTATCTTTTCAGCAAACTATGCTAATTCCACTTGGTGTTTAGATGAGATTGTTAAGATCGTTGAATGTAACCAGAAATTTGGCCAAAAGATTTATCCTGTATTCTACGATGTGGATCCTTCTGATGTTAGGAAGCAAAAAGGGAGTTATTAAATAGCTTTTGACAAATATGAAAATGATCCAAACGTGAAGGAGAAGATTGAGAGCTGGAGAAATGCTTTGAAGGAAGCTGCTAATGTTTCTGGATGGGAAATCAAACATTTAGCAGATGGGTAAATTACCAACACTTTACTCTTTCTTATTATGTGTGGCTGACTTGCTTTCAAGTTGTAGTTCTTATAACTCAAAGAATGGGTGAAAGTCATAAATTATTCGAATGTGTAAATAAAATTAGTGTTTGATTAGCTTATATTATTTTGATTATGCTCATAATTTGATGGTGAGTTCTATCATACCATACTAGAGCATTTTCTGCGGGTTTGTTGATTATGAATGATTTAAAACACCCCCTCCCCCCCCCCCCCTCTCCCCCTCCCACACCCTCTCTCTATAAAAGGAAAAGGAGAAAAAACTGATCTGGGTTACCTTGTGTTCTAAGTTATCATAATTGGCTAAATGTACAATATATGGAGGACTTCTGATCCCTAAAATTTTTGTTTCTCTTCATATCCAAAAAAAAAAATTTTGTTTCTCTAAAAGTACTAAGGTCAAATAATTCTTTTTATTCCATCTTAATGATTTTTTTGACAAACCATAAGGGTGCCTTGAACCATATTTTTATTGCACTTTTAAGTTCCTTAATCTTTGTTCGTCTTATCATTTATATTCCTAACTTTTTTTCTCGTATTCTTTTCTTTAACCTCACATTAATTATAAAATCTTGTCCTTGATTATTTCTATCAAAATATTTTGTTTCCATGCTTTGAAATGAGAAAAAAATACTTGGTCGCATTTTTGTGTTATTTATTTCTGAAAAATATGAGGGGACTTTTTGGATAGAAGCTGTTATTAGATACAAGATGTGTTGACTAACGGAAATTTGAGGATAGAAATAGAATGCCATGAAAGAACGTTAAGGACATAAGTGTTATAATGAGCAAAGATTGAGAATTTTAATTGCAATCAAAATGTGGTGTAAACATTAAAAATTGTGGTGTGAGTATAATTATCCAAACCATAATCATGAACAAATTGTATACATTTCAGAATAAAAATGCAATGAAAAAAGTTGGGGACATAATTTAAGTAAAGATTATGAACCTTTTACTCAATTAAAGTGTAGTGCACTTAGAATAAATGAAGCCTTAAAATTTAGACATAGGTTTTGGCCAAACTTAACTGCATAAGAGTGAATTTTGCTTATTTCATGTTATAATGTTTGTACTGGTGTAATGATATGTAATGGCATGTTTTAATGCTTATCTGTCTTTATTTTGTTGCTAGTTTATAAACTCGATTAGGGTTCGTGCTTGATCTGAGATTTTAGGATTTTATAAACTAGTTTAGTTATTGATATTTGTAAACAAAATGTACTATAATGTTAACCGGGACATTATTATGATTTTCCTTCGTCTCTAACTCAGAAGTCTACCACTGTAAACTAATGTTTTCCTTCTTTCTGATCTTCAGGCACGAGTCAAAAGGCATCAGAGAAATTGCTCTAGATATTTTAAACAATTTGAGCCATAACGTCTCTCAAGTTAAAGAAAGCTTGATTGGAGTAGAGTCGCATGTTGAGCAGGTGATGTCACTGTTAAATCTTGAGTCAACTGGAGATGTTCGCATGATCGGTATATGGGGTATGGGTGGCATCGGAAAAACAGCTATTGTCAGGGCTGTTTTCGATCAAATATTTAGCAAATTTGAAGGCAGTAGCTATCTGGACAACGTAAGAGAAGTTTCCAAAACTCTAGGACTGAATTCATTAGAAGAAAAATTACTCTCCGACACTCTGATGGAAAAAAGTGCAAATCTCCACAATAACACGTCTATCTTATTCAGAAGGTTACGTCACAAAAGGGTGCTTGTTGTTCTTGATGATGTCAGTGAACTTGAGCATTTAGACCGATTGGCTGGAGGGCATGATTGGTTTGGTGCCGGAAGCAGAATCATCATAACAACAAGAGACAGGCAGTTAATTTCGTCACGTGGAATTGATGATGTATATGCGGTCAGTGTCTTAGGGACTGATGTAGCATTGAAGTTGTTTAGCAAATTTGCCTTTAAGGGAGGTGTTCTCAAAGATGAATTTAAAAACCTTGCATGTACGGCAGTTAGATATGCTCGCGGTCTTCCTTTAGCTCTTAAGGTGTTGGGCTCTTCTCTACATGGTCGAGATATAGATAACTGGAAAATTACATTGGATGGTTTGAAAGAAATTCCGGAAGATAAAATCTTGGAGAAGCTGAAAGTGAGTTTTGATGCACTCAATGACATGGAGAAGAAGATATTCCTGGATATTGCTTGTTTTTTCAAGGGAAAGAAGAAAGAAAATGTGATGAGAAAACTTGACGGCTTAGGTCCCCAAGCTAAGATTGGAGTAAGTGATCTGATTCAAAAATCTCTTATAAATGTAACCACTGATAACAGGTTTCAGATGCATAACTTATTACAAGAGTTGGGTTGGTACATTGTGCGACGTCCACATCCTAACGAGCCTGGGAGACACAGCAGGTTATGGTTACCTGAGGAAATAAGCATTGTGCTAACCAAAAATGTGGTAAGAACTGAACTCGTACTGATTTGATACTGAAGAAGCTTCACTAAGTTTGTTTAAGGTTTTATGCAAGTGATATAATGTTAAAACTTACCTACCTACAATATTATATTTTGACAATATACAGGGAACGGAAGATATTGAGGGCATACATGTGGACTACTCAGATCCAAAGAGCATGGAAATTTGCTCGAAAGCCTTTACAAATATGAAAAACCTGAGGATACTCAAAATCCACAATGCATGCATTGAGCAAATGCCAGATTCTATTCCAAGTGACTTGCAATGGCTTGATTTGCACAAGTACCAAACGAGGATTCTGCCTCCAAGTTTTCAAGGAGAAAAGCTCGTTGGACCTTGGAGGACTAGAAAAGGCACAATTGGTATGTCATGAATTTTCTTTTTAATCATAGTTTCATTGACACATTATTAATGCTTCATCTGGATATGTAGAGCTGACATAATCTTCACTTTCCCTTGTCCCGCCTCTCTGTTTCTCAATTGGGCAGAATAAGTTGAAATTCATCAATCTCAGTTACTCTAAAAAATTGGTGAAAACTCCAGATTTCAGCAAAATTCCAAATCTTGAGAGATTGGATCTCAGCAATTGTAAGAACTTGGAAGAGGTTCACACATCCCTTGGGAATCTTAAAAAGCTTGTATACTTAAATTTGGCGCACTGCGTTAAACTAAAGAATCTTCCAAGTGATATCCATTTAGAACTTCTGGAAACACTCGTCCTCTGGGACTGTTTGATATTAGAAAAATTTCCAGAAGTGAAAGGGGAAATGAAATTCCTGTCGGAGCTTCATTTGGAGGGGACTGCAATAAAAGAGCTACCCCATTCAATCATCAACATTACAGGCCTCGTTTTGATAAATCTCAGCAAGTGCAAAAACCTAAAAAGTCTTCCAAACAGCATTTGTGATTTGAAATGTTTGCAAACTCTCAATCTCTCTGACTGCTCACAGCTTGAAAATTTGCCAGAAAACCTTGGACAAGTCGAATCCTTGGAAGAACTTCTTGTGGATGGAACTGCTATTACACAACCACCGCCTTCCATTACGCTTTTGACGAAGCTGAATGTCTTATCATTCAGTAGATGCAAGCGGCCAAAATCTCGGAGTTCTCTGTTTTCGGGTAATCTGGAGTCATCAGTCTCTTCTATATCTGGCATGTTACCTTTGCAAAAGTTAGGACTCTCCAGTAGTAACCAGACAAAATGTTCTTTGCCTCCACCCCGACCATCTTTAACAGGTTTATGTTCCTTAAAAAAATTGGATCTCAGTTCCTGCGATCTACTTGAGGAACTTTCAGCTGATCTTGCCAGCTTGTCCTCTTTGGAAGAGTTAGATCTGAGCGGGAATAATTTTGTAGCGTTTCCTGCAAAAATTTCTGAACTTCCTCGACTCAAAATCCTAAAACTGGAAAGTTGCACACGTCTTGAATCACTGCCGGATTTACCAAAAAGTATAGCTGTACTAGATGCAGATGATTGCTATTCATTAAGCTTGGTTGATCTCTCTGAAAAGCTTGCATTCTTGTGGAAGGTCTCACTTTTCAATTGCTTCAAACTGGTCAAAAATGAGGAGAACAATAATACTGCTGATAAGCTTCTACACACTCTACTTCAGGTTGGTCTCCAAATTCTCTCCTTTACAGTACACGTGTAAGAGCAATTCCTCTTACTACTTAGATTTATTTAGTAATTATCTGTGCTAAATCATTGCTGATTCCATGGTTCATACTTAGAGTAAACGCACGATTTTAATACATTGCTAAGTTTAAATGGTTAGGTGGTGGGTGGATAGTTATCTCTGGTGCTGTGGAGTCATGTTTCCGTCTTCTTTGTTAGCAGGAAAAAAAGAATTAATAAACTAACACTTCAATAAAACAAAAAATCTATGGAAAAAAAAAAAGTGAACCTGCAACGTTATAGAGATGCTATGTAAGGCTTACAGTAATGCATACAACATATTAGCTGTCTTTTGTCTGAGGTAACTACTTGTTTAAGTTTGGATAACTAGTTTCACTTGATTTCGTGTTACAGGGACAACCTGTTGTCGATAATCGATTTAGTATAATCATTCCTGGAAGGGAGCTTCCAGAATGGTTCAGTTACCAAAACATGAGTCATTCAGTAACCATTCCTTTAACTCCAGATTGGCATAAGAATGTTAATGGGATTGCAGTTTCCATCGTTTTTGAGCGTCTGGTGTCAAAATCAAAAATAGGGGTCGTGTTTAAATTGATAAGCCGGGATCATGAGGAGTTCACTGCTAATATTACCCCAACTGCCACTAAGCTTCTAGAGAACTATGGATCTGCTCATGTATGGATTGGCTACATATCATTCCATCTTTTCCAACTTCTATTTCCGAAATTTCAGTTAGATGATTGGGCTAAAATAGAGGGATGTCTTACAATTAGTACAATGGATGAGGCATGGATTAAGCCAAGAGGATGTGGGATTCGCTTTGTGTACAAAGAAGCGTTGGCGCAATATATGGAGACTCGTCCTGGGATTGACCAAGAATTGAACATATCAAAAGAGGCAGAAGAGAGTATCGATGTACTGACTTTTGGTGTCAATCAATTGAACTGGAGTGTAGATCCTGTCGAGGAAGAGGGCATTCAAATTCAAAGTTTGAGATCCTCCACTGCCTTCAAGGTACAGAAGACCCTATCATTTGATTACTAGTTACCAAAAGGAGGGTCTTTCAATTCGTTGCAGAGTTGTTTGCATTAAGTTTTCTGTTTTCACCGCACTTTAGGGGCTGCAGAGTGTACCCTTGCACTTAGAAATCTGCTTCAATTGATTCTGTGTTTGTTTGTCCTTTCTTTTCCCCTGCAACAAAAGAATGAACTCGGAAAAAAAGATTTGTAATTTTTTTTATTGTTTTGATTGACGATGTATTGGATGTTATGTTGCTTAGTATTGTAAGACCAAAATCCTTGTTAGATATTTAGTCTTTGTTTTAATGTATTGTATGTGTGTCCATGTTGATAACTAAAGGTGGAAAAACACTCAGTGCTTGTTTGGGAAGGATTAAAATCTAATTAAAATTAAAAATATAGTCGTTATTGGGTCTTACTCGTCTAGTAAAAGTCAACTCCAACAACTATATTTTCAAATTTAATCTGATTTTAATTCCTCCCAAACAAGCTCTCAATAAGAAACAAACTTGTAGGAGTAAATAATATTTTCCTAAATCTCAGAACAAATTATCTCTCTTTACAACTCTACTGTGTGTTTTCAACTTTCCTCACACTTCCAAATGACTATTTATAGGGTCTCAAATGACTTCTTGAATATCTCACACTCATTCACCTCATAAATTCAATACTTCGAATTGACTCGTACGTGTATCTCGTGAACATAAAAGTTTGTGTAGTCAAAAGAAACATACAATATTATTAAATCGTGTTTAATTTCAATATTATTCAAAATTGGTCGATTAGACTTATAAAACCTTTAATTAAAAACCCATAAAAAAACCCGTTAAACTAACCAATTTTTGAAAAACCTGTGACCCATTCCCGATTTAACGAGTTCAACATATGTAAATGTATATTCTTTTAATTTTTGCAAATGTATATTTTTATTAATTTTTTAATAACCACGGTTTGATTTCGATTCTACCTTTTGACCCTTGATCCTTTCTCTTTTTTAGGTTGATGTCTGAATCGATTTTTAAAATATTGAAATTAATAACATGGACTTGGATATGAATATGAATGTGAATGTGATTCTAATTAATATTAATTGAATGAATGTAAATGTTAATTAATTGAAAATTAATTATAGTATTTATTACAATTTGAAAATTAAATACATATTGAAAAACGAAAAGTAAGATATTATTGAAATAATTGAATTATAGTAGGACTATAATAGTCCAAAAATGATTCTCACTCGATGTCAAAAACCCATAATCTGTTCCCGATTTAAGCAGTTCAACCTATGTAAATGTATGTTCTTTTAATTTTTGTATATGTATATTTATTAATGTTTAAAAAAACCACGGTTCGACCCCGGTTCAACCTTTTGACTTTTGACCCCTTTCTTTTTTTACGGGTCGATCGCCAGATTGATTTTTAAAACATTGAAGTTAGTGTGTGTTTGTGTCCCATTATTGTAGAAGAAATAGTGTAATGAATAAGAGTCATGCTACATTTATCAAATTTTTTACCAAATCTTTTACACCCCACTCACATTAGGGGGTGGGTACAACGGGCCGACATTTTTTAAAACACATGGGACCCGCGCTTTTGTGATGGGGGTAAAAAAATCGGTAACCGCTCCCCCCGCCCCGCCCCGCCCTGCCCCGGCAATGTATCATTTTTTAATGAATAATATTTTTTGGAGAATGTGTGGTTGAAATTTAAAGTAACTTTATTGGTTTGTGCGTAGAATATTTTATTGGGTGAATGTGTGGTAAAGAATCTTATTGTAGCAAACAATGTTTTGAATAATAATTTTTTTCAGAATGTATTCTTAAAATAAAAGGAAAAATTTTGAATTTACGTGTAATATTGTGGGTTATTGGTTTGTGCGTAGAATATTTTATTGGGTGAATGTGTGGTAAAGAATCTTATTGTAGCAAACAATGTTTTGAATAATGAGAGGCAAACGGGGCCTTAATAACATGGACTTGGACATGAACGTGAATGTGAAATTCTAATTAATATTAATTAAATAAATGTTAATGTTAATTAATTGAGAATTCATTATAATATTTATTACCTAGAAAATCTAGGGTGTATTTGATGGATATTATTGAAAGGATAATGTATTTTAAATAGTGATATAATGGAAAATATGTGTTTAAAAAGTAAGGAAAAGTTATTGATGTAATGGGAAATATTATTTTATTGAAAAATGTGTGGTTGAAAATGAGTTTTGAAAGAATGTATTTTAAAAAAATGTGTGTCAAACAGAAGCTTAATACATAATTAAAAATGAAAAGTAAGGTATTATTGAAATAATTGAATTGAGAAAGTATGATTAAAAAGTTTTAAAAATTATGAATCACATGATATATGAAGTTGAAAATAAATTTGAGAAAATTAAATTTCAAGACATGAGTGCCAAACACGACGTAGAAGAATACATGCATGACCCAAATTGAGGATAATTATTTGAAAGAGTAAGTTATTCATAGACAGTAATTGTAGCAGTTATTCTATGTGTCAAATTATTATTGAGATGTTTACTTATTATTTGAGTCAACAGAAAATTAATGCTTGAAATAACAAGCCTCCACATAAAATGTCACGTATGATAACTACTGTAATTGCAAACTACAAATAACGTTATTCTATTTGAAAACATTTGTAAAAAATATATCAAAACTCCTATTTAAGAAGCATCATATTAGGTCAAATTTATGTCACAATACACCCTAAGGGTGTGTGGAAGAGAAATTATATATATATATATATATATTGACAGAGAATAGAAACCAATATTAGATGCATTTGACGCATTCGCACTATGCATGATTCGGTTGAAATATTATTTTATTGAAAAATCTATGGTTGAAAATGAGATTTGAAAGAATGTATTTTAAAAGAATGTGTGTCAAACAGAGGCTTAATACATAATCAGTCGTTCAATTAATGATTCTCAATTAGTGAGATATTTAATACAAAATATGGAAAGTTGGAGATAAAAATATTATGTAAAAAAGTAGGAGACAAAAGCATGACAATAAATAAAGTTAAAGACATTTAATAAAATTAAAATATTGTGCACTTTCTAAGAAAATATTGTCATCCTATAATTTCTCCATAATATCTGTTCCCGCAATAACATCCCATAAATCTCATCGTAATTTAAAAAATATTCTTAACAACATCCAAGGGCGAATTAACATGGGCAGAAATTTTTGCATTTTTGTTTTTATCACTTTTTTCCTATTTGAACAACATTTTGTCCTTCGACTTTCTGTCATACAATTTTTCTCAAACCCCAAATTTCAATCTTCTCCCAATTCCCATGTTTGCAATTTTTACTAAGGGTGCGTTTGATTACAGAGGTGGAAAATGGGTGAAAAGAAAATGATTTTCAGGGAAAATAATTGCCTATAAAATATTTTGTAGGGAATTGGTAATTAAATATGTTTGATTGATATAATTTTCCATCAGAAAAATTTTTAAATTTTCTATTCTTTTGGCTTTCCATGAAAGTGATAATTTTTCCACAATTTGTTATAAAATTTGTTTCTATTTCGAAAAAGTAAAAAAAAAAAGGAAAAAAATTATTTTTCTAAAAAAATCATTTTTTCATCAAAGTTTAGTGTTCGTTTGGTTTTGTTTTACATGAAAATTGTCCATTAAAATGAATTTTTTTTTTTAACAATA